GTTAAACTCTGACTTGAAATGCCCTTAAACAGTTCGGGAAACAACATTTCTAATGAGGAGAAAGACACATGACCTAGCCTAGCATGCCAAAGATGCAACTTAGCYTTTGACTCCACACTCTCCGGACTACTACCAGCAGATGCTTGTAAGGCTGAACCGATGTCTGCATCAAGATAGTAGAGTCCTCCATACTCATGACCGCACCCAATCGTTCTCCTTGTCAATCTGTCCTGGAAGACACAATGAATAGGAAAAAAAGTTATACTACAGTTCAAACTTTTGGTAAGTTTTGAAACAGACAAAAGATTTGAGGTGAAACTGGGAACATGTAAAACTGATTTAAGAGAGAGGTCCTTGTTTAGGTCAACCATTCTCTTTCCAGAAATAGTGGAGAAAGGCCCGTCAGCAACTCTCATCTTATCCTGACCAGACAACAAATGATATGAAGAGAATAGGAAAGACATATGTGTCATGTGGTCAGTTGCACCAGAATCAATAACCCAAGAAGTAGAGTCAATAGADCCAGTGGCACTGAAGGCAGAGGCTGTACCTGATCTGGCAAGAGATGTAGAAGCAAAATAATTATTCCTTAGACGGGTCAATGCCCTGCTAAGGCTCTCTACCTCACTGGCAGTGAAGCCAAAGCACAAGTTCCAGAATCAGCAACCTGTCCCATAGGAGAAGAAGACCCTATTGGAGTATTCTGTGAGTTGTCACCGTTGTTGCTGGTGACAAGGTTCCCACTTGCCGCAGGCCTGTTATCCCTAGAAGAAACTTCTCTGGATATTGGAGACATCTTGACTACAGCCACTGTGAAGGTGACACTGACTAAGACTAGCTAAAGCAGTTCTGGAGCAGGTTCTGATTAGCCGAAATGATCACAGCAGGTTCTGACAGCACTCGACACAATTTCAGACTTGCTGAGACTGTCACAGTTCTGAAGCAGTTCAGTTACAGCAGCAAACAAGGAGTTATGGGCTGGTAACCGACCTGAAACTAAGGGTTCTCAACTATTGTGCTATGCAGACTCCACTTGAACTTAGAGTACTGCAACTGTAAGGAGAGTATCCCTCCTTCCAGCCAATACTAGGACTGCTGACATCAGTCCTCAACTAGGGTTCACAATGCTGGACAATCTGGAGCTGGCAGCTCCCTAGGTAATCTTCACTTGAGCTGAAGCAGTTCGGGTACAGCAGTGGTGAGAGGTTCCGGACTGATAACCAACCTGAACATGGAGCTGTTTACCACTGTGCTATGCTGGTTTTGCTGGGGCTTCGAAGCTGCAGTGAAGCTGATAACATGTAATCTTTGGAGCTGATAACCAACTACTGTTCTGTGCAGGTCTTGCTGGAGCACCGAAGCTGCAACTGTAGAGGAAGCTCTCCCCCTTTTGGCTAGTGCTAGGACTGCGAAATCAGTCCTCAACTAGGTCTGTCCTAYACAGACCTCTCTTAGTAGCCGAATAGCTACTATTTGCTGGAAATAACCTAGTAGGACATCTACTTCTGGGTCTTACTTCCCTTGAGTCCTACAACCAAGAGAAACCCTAGGTTCGAACTTGCTTTACTCTTTTACACCCCTAGGTCTTCACTACGCAACCCAGAAAAGGAAGAGAGAAGATGAAAAGACAGCAAGAGAAGAGAGAGTGCACCGGCTAAAACCAGGAAGAAGCTAATGCTCTGATACCATGTTATCTTGAGAGCTGTACTTGAAGTAGAGAAGAGGAGAAGCACATCACTGATATGCTGTGAATGTAGAACTGAACTGCTCAGTCGACAGTACTATTATTTATATTATCATGTAGTACAATAATACAGGAAGTTACTAGAATGCCCCTGATTAGTGATGGGACACCCAGACAACTTAAAACATTAAACAGGATTAGGCCCATTAACATAGSCCCAGTACAGGACAACTTAAACTTAAGTATAGGCTAATAAGAACTCTTATCAGYCGAATACTCATACATACAAAGACTTCAATCCAACATAGTCAATTGTGAAAGCTCCCTAAACAACCTCACCTGTTTTTGTAGTACAGAATATCCAAACTTAAAAATTTATAATTTGTGGTTGTGTGAAGTAAAATATATTAAGAATATAAAACATAATGCCACATTACCATAATTTATACAATTCTAAATTGTAACATGACTCTCCAAGTGAACTCCATGACTCTCTAGTTAACTCCACTTGAGATCTTGCTGAGCCAAGTCAAAAGCCTGAAACAGCAAGCTATTTTTGCAAACCATAAGGTAAAGTAATTTTTACCAATATGAAAAGGTCTAGTAATGGGTTTAAATATATGATTGGTGCTTGGAATATGAACATTTACCTAAAAGAATGTTATTAATTTCACTGAATCTCCTCCATTGCAGCATTCATAAATTTATGGTTTAAACATTTGATCAAATATTTTATCTTTATGTATTCAAGCTAAGTGATTGTTGATCAACAGGTACTCTTTGCTACCAAGTTCAGAATGTCCTGTTGGGTGGGTAAAGTGGGAAAGTTATAAGGTAAATCATAAAGTATAAATAAGCAGAAGTTGCATTTAAAATTTAATGGTATAAATGATCACATTTATCAGGAAATATGCATATAAGAAAGGATGTGATGGATAAGGCACGGACGATGATGACGATGATGATGTGATGCATAGCTCTATTCGATCCCCTTGTCATCGTTGCGTTAAAAGAAAGGCATGTGCAAAAAGGAAAGCTAATTCATGGTATTCTAAATTTGGTCCAAAAAGAATGCTATTAAAATTACTCTTGTATCTGTTATAGTTGAATAACAACATTCAGGAGTAGTCATATCACATAGCAAAGTGAAATGTCACATTAAAAATAAGCTTATTGAAAACAGAATATACAATCACACTGATAAGTACCTTTGCATAAGAACGCATCATTACAAAACCTATATAATATAGAGAAATTTATAAGGACTTGCTGTAACTCTAGCAGTTTAATGGATATGCCAGATTAACAACACATTAACATCTGAAATGAATTATACATAGCAACAGAAACTCCAAAGCATTCATGATGCAAGTAACAGAATAGTTTCCATGTAAGGCACCCAAAAAGAAACAGTCCCCACATAAAAGATATGTAACACAAGTCAGAACTTGAAACTTAAAGATTGAAAAGATAGATTTTTTCCAGTACTAAGCTTAGAGTACTGATTTCACGTATCCTTTGAATGTCATACTGAAATCTACTAGTCATTGAGGTTGTCACAAGAATCCTACTTGGGCAGCATAGACACTTATACCTATAGTTAACAACATAATGTGCAATTCACATGCAGATATGCAAAATTTACATGAACACAATCGTGCCACCTATACATACATTATGAAGAGATTTTTATGGGCAATATTTTAGCCTGGCAATTAATATAAAAAGAGAGAAAAAGGTAATATGCTTGGTCATGTGTACTTTGCCACTACAAACAGGTATACGTTACACATAGATGAATACGGTGGAAGTGCGCAACAATACAAATAAACATCAAAGAATGGGTGCATGCATACAACAAAGGCCCAGACAGACACTAACAAGTTGCACAGTGCTTGCACGAGTACATGTACAGATAAATACAGAACACTTGGTTAACAATAACAGAAAAATAAATTGGTAGTGGTAGATTAGCAGGTGCCAACATGTTACATACCCAGGGAGGATAAGATCCTTGCAGTTTAGCTTGACGATCAAAATTTCCCTGTTGTTTATCCATTGCAAAAGAAGAGTGGGGTAAATCTATGCCTAGCAATCCTTTCCAAATCGTCCAGGGAGGAAAGCTTCCATTCTCTCCATGGCTGTCAAGGTGTTTGCTGACTTTTGCACTCAATTTACAGTTCTCCAGATGAGGAGCTTCAGGTATACTTGATCTGCTCAGTCCTACCCTGATGAAAACATCATGTTCACCACCTATTGATTCATTCAGCATTGCACTCCAAGCTGAATATAATAAAAGGACTTTCTCATCATTGCTTTGTTCACTTCTTTTTGTTTCTTTTAGGTTGGAAAAGTCCAAGCTTTTTCTCATATCTGAATTTTCCAACAAAAAAAAAATGTCAACTACGAAATTATTTAAAGACACGATTAGATCCAAACAGCCTTTAAATGCAAGTTTCAGATCAGGCTAGTACAGCAAATTGTGCTACCAAGAATTAAAGGAGAATTAAAGGAGTGCACATTGTTGCACTTAGGAAACTTAATAACAGTACTGAGTTGAATTCCTATAGAACACATGGAGCTACACAATAGGTTAATAGTCAACAACAATGACAAAAGAAACCAGGTTCAGTAAGTAACCCCACTGAATTTTCCGACAAAAAATGTCAACTACGAAATTATTTAAAGACACGATTAGATCCAAACAGCCTTTAAATGCAAGTTTCAGATCAGGCTAGTACAGCAAATTGTGCTACCAAGAATTAAAAGAGAATTAAAGGAGTGCACATTGTTGCACTTAGGAAACTTAATAACAGTACTGAGTTGAATTCCTATAGAACACATGGAGCTACACAATAGGTTAATAGTCAACAACAATGACAAAAGAAACCAGGTTCAGTAAGTAACCCCACTCTATGTAAAATGAGGTTCAGGCTTCAAACAGAAACATGGGATCTCAAAAATATCATCTACAAGCATTGCATTTTCTCAACCATGATTTAAAATACACAAAAAGAGCTTTCCAATTATTCTTTATCAGTAACTATTCCAATTTTAATTTGCAAGAAATAATTGGTGTGGAAATAACACCTGGAAAAGGAGAAGACACTCTGATCTGCAAACCAGATAAAATCAAATAATATAAAATAGCAAACGCAATGGACCCAAGAGAGTAGTCTTTACAAAAGTATTCATTCAAATTAGGAGTTAGCTAGAAACAAGGATTTAGAAAACATATTGGTCCAATGCCTGAATGAATATTGTATGACCAGGCAGTATGCTCACGTTTGATAAAGAGTTAATGGATTCAATGTACCATAAAAGAAAAGCAAGCAATTAATTGAATTACCAAAACAGAGTAATACTTACTAACCAATAAGTCTCAAAGACAAAGCAATTAATAGATACAACTATTACCAAACTTCCTTTTTTTTTTCTTTTGTTTTCCCTACGTCTATAAAAATTCTGAAAGACCATAAAATGAATTCGAACCATAATCTATCTTTAAAGAAAGCAAGCAAGAAAAAAAGCAGAAAGAGTAATTCTTGCTTACCAATAACCCCTGAACTCAAATTCCTTGAAGCAAGTCCTGCCGAGGGAAATGAAAAGGCAACCTCCCCGAACTCCACCAAGGAACTGAGAGCGGCGAGAAAGAAATAGGTAAGACAGACACCACAAAGAAAACCCACGACACAAATTTGACATGGAAATGAACTACCCATCTGCAGAGCTTTTTGCGAAACAACTCTCTCAAGAGTCTTCTGAGCTGTTGGCTCCATTCTGTGCCCAAAAGTTCAAAATCCAAAGAAACAACTACCTTTCAACAAGCCTTACAAATCCTTTAATTTTCACGGTTCCTAAACAGACCTCTCAAATGTAACCACGTGATATCATCTCAACTTTCCTCCTCTTCACCAAAAGGAAACCCATTCAGAGAGAGAAAAAGAAAAAAAGAGAACCCATCAACAGAAACATCTCAATATCAAGCTTTAGCCTTAAAGATAAAATCTTTTCTCGCTCACACAAAACAGAGCAAATGTCACGTACACTACAACTTCAACCTCCGCTTAACCTGAAACTACAATTTTAGATTCGAAGCAGTCTACAAAACGAGCACCACCTTCCCTTCAGCTGCAAACAAACAATGAAAAGTATACATTAAAATTATAGAAAACTTAACAAGATATCGGAAATCATAAACAACTATGCAAAAATCTAAATGAAAGAATATGAGAATAACTAGTTCTCACTACTCAGAATGGGGTATACCAAAACCCAAATCCTTTTCAGACTTCCTGCATCCCATTTCAAACTTCCATGCAGAAAATAAAGAAACACAATCCCATTTTTTCAAAACCATGATAATAGTAGATTTGATAAAAATAAAAGCAGAGAAGATCTCTTGGTCTAACAGAGCGCCTAATGACGTAAAAGGATAGAACATGCAGAGGGACACATGTAGCGACCCTTTACCAACAGATATTCAAATTCACTACATAAATGCATCTACGCAGCCAGAAGCGAATTCAGTAGAAACCCAGAAAGATAAACGGGGTTAGAGAGTTAAAATAAGACGATAAACAAAGTGCCATTATTAAAGGGAGAAACAGACAGAAACCTTCGGAAGCAGAAGGGTTAGGAACATCCCCAGTTTGTTGTTCCTGCAGTGGTATTGTTTATGGGTGTTTCAGGAATGAACTACAGACAGAATGGATACCCAAAAAAAATTACAGGAGCAAACAAAAACAGAGATAATTTGCAGGAACATATTCCCCACCAGTGGGACCAATTAGATCGGCCTGTCAGTGGGTTTTAAAAATCTATGGCGATCATCATCATGAGAATTACTTAAAGTAGACGATTAACCGAAACTTTTCGTCATTGGAATAAGTTAAGACTAAACAGTAGATAAGGTGAATTAATGATTCTTTAGTGAGTAAAGGTCCTAAAGGAGGACGCGACTTAAGTGATGAAGAAGTCTGGTCTGGACGTTCAGTTGCAACAGCTTGCAACTGGCTGGCTCCAGTGGCTTTCCTCATTTTCTCGTCTCACGAGAACTCGAACGCTTCGAAACCGAAAGAAAGCTGAAAGTCAGATTTATCTGATGGTTGTTAAGGTAAACTGATCGAGTGGTCAGGATCAAGTGTCCATCCATTTTACTGGAATGGAGCGATGGTGGGTTTGGTGGGTGATATATAGTTTTATTGTATACAAAAATTACACACGTGAGGTGAGACCACTTTAACGCTGTGTACCCGACTTCGAAATCTGTGAATCCCACTTACACCGATCCGACGGTCGGAAGTGAACTGATATCAGACATTTTCATTTTTGCATGCAAACAAACCAAAAGAAGACAGAAGGGTAACAGCCTTTCACGGATTTTTTCACGTAAAGAGAGAGAGAGAGAGAGAGTGGAGTGTGAAGTAGAATCGGTCGTGAATGGTGGTGATGGTCGATGGAATGAACCCAGAGAGTCCGAAACCCATCAACTGCATAAAACAGTAAAGTATGAAGGCTGTAGGCCGTAAATGGACTTATCTCTGAGAGACACTGAAGAGTCTAGTCTGAGGCCAGCACTCAGCAGCTTTAATTCAAAAGGAGCCACCACAGGGATCCATGTTAGAAAATGGAAGCGGGTATGGATCGGGTCTACTTGTAGCTGATGTATTTCATTTTCATGTCATATGGATATGGGTGATACTGATATGTAAACGCTGAAAGCTACTAATAATATAACTCACACCATGTGAGGCTGCATCCTCCCATTCAGCCTGGGCTGTGCCTGGGCGCCTTGCTTCCCTGATTTGCCATGCACTAGCCATATGGTGTGTGGTTCGTGTTTCACTAACTAGTTCCAAGTGGCCCCACAAAAAAAAAAAAAAAAGAAAAAAAAAAATGGTGAAACTCCTATCACATGATTTACCTAATTTCTATTTTGACACACAAATTATTTATTTATTTTATCATTTTTCGTTTAGAAATGGAAACGGGTTTGGTCCAATTGTCTATGTTCAACCCGACCCGAATCAGCAACCCAATAAAGAGAATACTGAACCGGTGAACCCAACTCACCCATCCATCCCCATAACATGGTATTTGTACACTCAACTAAGCTTATATCTACTAATATTTCAATGCAACAATGTCAAACTGGTCGGGTCAGTGGGAATTTAACCACTTAACTCGATCCATTGACATCCCTATTCTCGCTGTTTTTTAATATGTCAGTGATCTGCCCGGTTGGGCCATCGATAGTGAACCGATCACAATTTCATTATGGGTAAAACCCCTAACCCATTCATTGTGTTGCAAAGCCCATTGGCGCGATCAATGTTCTGTTGATCGTGATGGTTAAACCATTTAGCTGGTTTTTTTTTTTTTGTCGAAAATTTTTTACATGAACACTATGGGTTGAATTTGATCCATTTAATTTGAACAGTTGAACCATTGACCCATTAACAGAACAGTTCAATCTCCCAATTCAATTTTTAAAAACACTTTGTTAGTATTTGTACGAGTCGCATCTTATGCTTGATAGTGTTCCAAATTATTATGCCCATATTGACCCACCTCGTTGCATATTATGAATTTCGGATATGCTGACCACAATAAATTGTATTGTGATGTGACTCAATCTGCACGGTCCCTTGTGGAGTGAGTCGAATGAGGAGTAGGTCGAATTTGCAAAGAAGGTAAACGTCAGAAATCCCGAGTGGTGGACCCAGGCGAGGGAGCTTTGATGATCAAATTAGTACTGAGCTGAGAGAGAACTACAGAGAGGAGCAGAATGAGAGCTAGTACCCGTTAGATCACATAGGTTGGCCTTCACGAGGTTGGATAACTTGCCAAATATCTGGCTTGCATAAACGTTCCAAGGTGACAACGAGTGACTAGTGTGCCACTTTCACCAATAATCACATTGTTAACCATATTCATCCAGTCCTACATCGGAAATATCTGGTGTACTTTATTAGCCCACCTTCCCAATATGTGGTTTGATGAATGTGACCAGCAGATTTGAATTCTATATGGTATATCTATACTCAACTGAACTTATAATATATTCCAATGTATTAATGTCAAAAAGAGTTGGATCCAATACAGGTACATCTCAATCCGAACCTAATCCAAAAGGAGACAAGGTTAAGGGTACACCAAGCCAAATTTAAATGAATATGTGGCTATTCAAGTTCGATTCAACTTGAATTGGACTGTGAGTCAAGCTTTTTATAAAAAATAAAAATAAAAAATTATATATATAACATTTTATAATATTATTTATATAAACTCAATTAAACTCGCAAGCGGAATTTTATTAGGCTCGAACTAAATTCAATTACTAAATGAATCTACCCAATAGGATCGTGTCAGTTCAGATTTAACACTTAACCCCGATGCACTAACATCCCTATGCCCATAAAATTTAAAACATTTAGAGTCAACATCATCATCACTACAACATCTGTTATTATTCCAATCCGATGGTTTTTCTAAGACGTATGCCATCAAGAGTCGATTGCTTTTATTGTTGGTCTCTATCACATCTTTTGCTCAGTCACTACAGAGAAGCTGCACGGATTCGGGATTCCTACACCGCACAATCAGACGGTGGCCTTGGAACCATGAACCATCCCATCTTTCGGTATCACCTTATCACCTTCCTTGTACGTTGACAAATTTCAGGAAGCTGTGTGTGAATGGGACTGATCTACAGAATCGACCCATTTGGATTGGTCCCGTAGAAATCGACCCATCATGTGGATTCTGTGGCATCGGAGATTGCTTTTGTGGGGACCAGTTAATGCCTTGACGATCAATGCGGGCCCATGTCGGGGACCACGTGATAACCATGATATATATGTACCCTATCACCGTATTCCGCATACATAATCTAAGACTCGTATGAGTACTTGGTTCCAATCGTACGAACCATGATATAAATCAGGGGAAGTACGAAGAGTGGAGCTAGTGCGATGATTGGATCATTTGCTTGACGTCATGAAGATGTTCTGTCCACGTCATGGAACACGGGAGTATTATGGAGTATATCTACAGTATCACTCGTAGATTTATGGGTAAGGCCCACTTTTTGATGGAATTTCTAGTTTTTACAGGATTGATTGATTAATCCCACGGCCTTTTAAAAAAGTGATATACATGGCTGCATACAGCTCAGAAGCACCAAACAAGGAAGAGGAGACAACACGTGCATCAATAGATGTCAAGAGATGCATAAAGGATAAGGAGAGAAGGTATCTCAATCATGAAACCAAACAAAAAAATGGCGGTAAAGCAAAAAAGCAAGGTTTATAAAATACTCGAGACCAAGGAAACTGTTATGCTGTGTGTTCTGGTGTTTTCCTCTCAGCTTTCTGATTCTCTCTTATTTTATATCAAATCAAACATTAAGGTCTGTTTGTTTGTAGTTGAAATTAGAATTAGAATCAGAATCAAATTTTTTTRGAATCGAAATCAGAATGGTTCATTCCTATAGTTTGTTTGGTTCAGATAGGAATAGAAATGAGAATTAAAATCAGCAGAAATGGAATTTCATTCCCAAAAAAGGGATAAGGAATGACCATTCCCTCAAATGGGAGAATGCCATTCCAACAGAAATAGGAATGAAATTTCGATTYCATCCAATCAAACAGTTGGAATCTGAATAACCCATTCCAATTCCGATTCCAGACCCCTATTCTTGCAAACCAAATGGTTCCTAGGTTCAAGTTATTAATTTAAAAAAAAAAAAAAAAAAACAGGTATAAGTTATTAATTTTTCAAAAAACAGGTCCATGTTATTATTTCTTCGAAGAATAATTTCAAATTATTGATATTTTAAAGAAGTTCATGTTATTAAWTTTTTAGAAAAAAAAAGGAAAAAAACAAGTTGAAGAAATTCACATGGTGGTGTCAATTATTGACCCCACCTGGGTAAATTCACCCTCCCCTTTTTTCGTCTAGTGGAGTGGTGAAGGTACTGTTTGGATTCACTTTAGTGCTGAGACCATTTGGGATGCCTGGTTCTAAATCGTTGATTTGATCAAAGTTATTTCAGATACAGTAAGTTTTATAGTTTATATATTATTTTAATAAAAATAAATTAAAAATAATTTAGAGTTATTTAATTATTTTTTTATTTAAAAATGGTTTTATGTCTGATCTGAGTCTGACAAAAATGGTTGGCTATTGGTTAAAATGAACTTGATTCAAACTCTTAGCTTTTCTTTGTTTCAACTGAGCAAAGCATTAAACCTTTGAATCTGGACTGGCTCTGTCTCCCCGAAACTAAAATCATTAGGGGCCAGAATGGTTTTATGTCTGGTCCAAGTCTGACATCACTGGTTGCATTGGTTAAAATTAATGAACTTGATTCAAACTCAGCCTACTGAGCAAAGCATTCATGCATGAATTGAATGAACCTCAAGTCTGGACTGACTCTGTCTCTCCTGAGATTAAAATCATTTGGGGCATTGTAGATATTGGACCCCAACATGCCCCCAGACCAGGTCTTGTGCAGTGCCTTAGGTTTCTAGGGATTCTTTAACAAAATATCATCTACTGTG